AAAAAATTTCTCTTATTGTGATTGCAATATACATATATACAAACTGTCAACTATAATCAAGCCTAAATTAGTGATTTTATATAGGGAATGCATTTATTGGTATGAACAACAAAATATCAAATATGTAGAGATTAATGCTGATTGATTGATTTCCTTATTCATCTCCTTGATATCCAGCTATACTCCCCCTCAAGTTGGAGCATAAAGGTCTCTAATGCCCAACTTGCATAATAGGAAATGAAGTTGTTCCTTGCCTAATGCCTTTGTAAACAAATCTACTAGTTGACAATGAGAAGGCACATGAGTCGTGAGCAACTCTTTCCTTTGAATGCAATCATGAACAAAATGGCAATCTATCTCAATATGTTTTGTGTGCTCATGAAACACAAGATTATTGGCAATGTGTAAGGCAGCTTGGTTATCACAAAACAATGTCATTGGCTTCGAGTGATATACCTCAAGATCATAAAACAAGGACTTTAAGTACGTGAGCTCACTGACAGTTGATGCCATGGACATATACTCAACTTCAACAGAGGAGCGAGGGACAATTGATTGCTTTTTTGACTTCCAAGAAACAAGGGAGTGTCTGAGACAAATATAGTAACCTATTGTTGAGCACCGTGTCCGTGGGCAACCGGCCCAATCTACATCACAATAAGCAACAAGATGTAGAGGACTAGAAAAGGAGAGCAATATCCCTTGTCCCGATGAGTTCTTAACACAATGTAACACTTTCATTGCTGCATCAAAAGGTTCCTATTTGGGTTCCTCCATGAATTGTGCCAAGATTCCAATAGAATAACATATGTCTGGTTGTGTTATTTTCAAATAAAGGAGCTGACCGACTAGCCTCCTATATTGTGAAGGATCCAGTATAGGTGAACCAAATGCAAGCTTGAGACGATGATGCTACTCTATGGGAAAGGAACTAGGCTTTGCCCTAAGCATGCCTGATTCTGTGAGTATATCGAGCGCATACTTTGGTTGGCTTAAAACTGTCCCTTCTGTTGTTCTAGCTACCTCAATTCCAAGAAAATATTTTAAGGGACCTAAATCCTTTATAGAAAATGAAGAATGAAGAATGAAGATAATGTTTTAAGGTTGCAATTCTTGCTCCATCATTGCTGGTGATTAATAAATTAATACTACAACAAAACTATTAGCAATGGCCAATATGAATAAGGAATAATCTGCCTTTGATTGCTTAAACCCAACTGCTTCAAGAGAGGTTGTAAACTTTTCAAACCAATTCCTAGATGCTTGTCGTAGTCTGTAAAGTGATTTCCACAACTTACAAACTTTGTTGCTTTGGTTGCAAGTAAAACCTTGTAGTATTTTCATATATACCTCTTCATGTAAGTCACCTTGCAAGAAGGCATTATTGACATCTAATTGATATAGTTCCCATCGCCTAATTAAAGCAAGAGCAAGTAATGTTCTCACAGTGACCATTTTAGCAATAGAAGCAAAGGTCTCATGAAAATTGAGTCCTTCAATTTGAGTGAATCCTTTCACTACTAATCGAGCCTTGTACCGTTCAACAATTCCATCTGGCTTGATTTTGATCTTATAGACCCATTTTGAATAAATTACACATTTGTTAGGAGGCAATGTCTCAATCGTCCAAATTCCATTCTTCTCGAGTGCAGCAACCTCCTACCTCATTGCTTTTCGCCATTTTTCATTTTTAATGGCTTAAGAAAGGATTTAGGCTCATCTACGCAAGAGATGGTTGCTAAATAACTGAGATGAGCGGATGAAAAAGAATTGTAAGAGACACAATTAGATAAAGCATAAGGATCACCGGAGTTAGTAGATTGAGATGGAGCTTACGTAGGCATAATACACTAGGGCATGCTGCAAACATAATCATCAAGCCTTTGAGGGTCATGCCTCTCACGTTGTGGTCAAGGAGTTCGAACTATTTGTTCTAGGTGGTTTGTATTGGTCTCTAAATCAATGTCAACAACTTGTGTTTCTTCCATTGTTTCGGACTTGTTTTGGTTATCAATGGTGTTATCTAAGACACTATCATCAGAAGCCAAAAAATGAGTTTCCAAGTTGGATGGCATGATACCAAGGGGAGGTGAAACCACACAATCTTTATAATTATTAATGGTTAAATACCCTTTTTGGTCCCTCTACTATAGGAAAAAGCCCTTTTTTGGTTCCTATACCAAAAAAATCTCCTTTTTGGTCCTTAAATTTTAAAATCCGGCCCCTTTTTAGTCCTTCCATTAAATTTTGGTTGATGTGGTAGGTTAATTAATGGGAAAATTCATTTTTTTTTGTTTACTAAATTATGTGGAAAATCTATCTGTCAAAAATTGATAACGTGGTTAAATTTTTTACCTTTAATTACTGATTTACCCTCAAAATTGATGATATGATTAAATTTTTTACCTTTAATTACTGATTTACCCTCATCTCCTTCCCCGACCTCTCCTTCCTCCGGCCTTTTTTTTTTTTTTTTCTTTTTTTCCTTTTACCTCTTACCTCTAGGCGAACCCAAGAGCCTGGGTTCACAAGGAACCCAACTCGTGGGTTGGCAAGGAACCTAGAAGCCTGGGTTCGCAAGGAACCCAACTTATGGGTGAACCTAGAAGCCTGGGTTCGCAAGGAACCCAACTTGTGGGTGAACCTAGGCGCCCGGGTTCATCGTGGGTTCCTAGGTTTGTGATGAACCCAAGCAAGAGCCTGGGTTCACAAGGAACCCAACTCGTGGGTTGGCAAGGAACCTAGGAGCCTGGGTTCGCAAGGAACCCAACTTGTGGGCGAACCTAGGTGCCCGGGTTCATCGTGGGTTCCTAGGTTTGTGATGAACCCAAGCACTTGGATTCATCACGAACCCACAAGCTGGGTTCATCACGAACCCAGGCTCCTAGGTTCATCGCAAACCTAGGAACCCACGACGAAACGAGGCGCTTGGGTTCAGGACGAACCCAGCTCCTGGGCTCGCTTGGAGGTAATAGAAAAGAAAAACAAAAAGAAAAAAAAAAAACGCAAAAAGGAAAGGATGGGGGAAGAAGATTCCGAGGTTCGCGATGAACCCAGGCTCTTAGGTTTGAGACATGGGTTTCTTGTGCATGTTGTAAAAAGAAAAGAAATGGTGGGACAGGTTGTTGAAGTAGGAAGGGAAGCCTCTTGTGTTCCTGAAGAGGATGAGAATAGTGTTCACCATTGATTGTATATATTATGTGTGTTTGTTTCTTCTTTAAGTTGTATATTGTAAAGAAAGCAGAAAAGTGATGGTGGGACAAGTTGTTGAAGCAGGAAGGGAAGCCTCTTGTGTTCCTGAAGAGGATGAGAATGGTATTCACAATTGATTGTATATATTGTGTGTGTTTGTTTGTTCTTTAAGCTGTTGATTGTATCTCATGAGCCAACAAAACCTATTTAGCTTCTTTGCAGGAAGAAACTGTTAGAAACAATTAATTAACCAAGTCATGGTGTTCGATTGATCATAGAATCATCCAACCAAATTACTCCATTTTTTTGTACTTACCTCTTAAACAAGGGTAAGTATGGAAGGAGCTTGTGGGTTCGCGATGAACCCAGCTCCTGGGTTCGCAACGCCTGGGTTCACTTGGAGATAAAAAAAAGAAAAAAGAAAAAAAGAAAGGCCGGAGGAAGGGGAAGATGGGAAGAAGATGGGGGTAAGTATAGAAGGAGCTCATGGGTTCACGATGAACCCAAGCGCTTGGGTTCGCGATGAACCTGGCTCTTGGGTTCACTTGGAGGTAAAAAAAGAAAGGTAGAAAGGAAGCGAAGATGGGGAAGAAGATGAGGGTAAATAAGTAATTAAAGTTAAAAAAAAGTTAGCCATGTCATCAACTCTTGTGAAATGGATTTTCCATGTAATTTAAGTAAAAATATAAATAAATTTTTCCGTTAATTAACCTGCCACATTAGCCAAAATTTAACGAAAGCACTAAAAAGGGGCCGGATTTTAAAATTTAAGGACCAAAAAGGGGATTTTTCGGTATAGGGACCAAAAAGGGGCTTTTCGGTATAGGGACCAAAAAGGGGCTTTTTCTTATAGTAGAGGAACCAAAAAGGGTATATAACCATTATTAATAGATGCATATGGGAAGATTTTCTCATAAAAAACTATATCACGGGAAATGAAAATTTGATTAGTTTCCAAATCATAAACTCTATAACCCTTTTGTCCATAAGGGTAACCGATGAAAATACATTTTGATGCTCTAGAGTCAAATTTTTCATGATTCTTGGAATGATTATAGGCATAGCAAAGACATCCAAACACTCTTAAATGTGAATAACCATGAGCTTTACCAAAAAGTTTTTCAAATGGTGTGAGACCCAAGAGAACAGAGGTAGGAGTTAAATTTATTAAATAAGTAGCAATGAGAACACATTCACCCTAAAATTTCAAGGGTAAATTAGTTTGAAACCTAAGGGCACGTGCAACCTCAAGGAGGTGACGATGTTTACGCTCAACAATGCCATTTTGTTGAGATGTATAGGCACATGATGTTTATTGTATGATACCTTTCTTAAAACAAAATTCTTTCACAATCAATGAACTCTTTGCTATTATCAATGCGAATCTATTGGACACTAGTTTGAAATTAAGTTTCAACCATATGGCAAAAACTTATCAAATATGATGCAGCTTTTGATTTGTGCTTTAAAAGATAAACCCATGTGCATCGTGAAAAATAATTTACAATGGTTAAAAAATAGTGTGCTCCTATATTAGATTGAGTGGCATACCTACCCCATATATCACAATGGACTAAGGCAAAATAGTGGGTAAAGACAATATTGCTAATAGGAAAAGGCAATCTTGTTTGCTTGGCACGATGACAAGTGTCACAAACATGCTTTACTTTGCTTAAACACGTAGGCAAAGAAATTATTTTGGCTATTCTTTTTATGGATGCATGGCCTAGTCACCGATGCCACAGCTCCAAGGATGTGTCCTCCTTTTGCTTGGTGTGACTTGTTGCAGCAACATGCCCAAAGTCACAATAGTACAGCCCTTTGCGAAGCTTACCCATTCCAATCAACTTCCTCAAGGCTAGGTCTTGAAAAACACAAAAGTCAGGGAAGAAGATCACAGCACAATTAAGTTGCTATGTTATCTTGCTAATAGAAAGGAGATTGCATGCAAATTGAGGAACATAAAGTACATTGTTCAATGTAAGTTTGTTTGGCAATACAGTATTTCCTATACTAGACACTTCTAAGGTGGTGCCATTGGGAATATGAACTAGAGAAGAGTAAGGTTTTATGTCTTAAAGTATGGAAATATTAGGTGTCATATGGTCGGATGCACCACTACCAATTATCTAGGAAATTAAGTTTGTTGCCTTACCGACAAGGTTGACGGCATGTTTAAGAGTAGAATTACCACTAAGAAGCATGAGAAGTTGATCATACTACACACTTGTAAGTCCTGCAATTGGTGACTGATGCAGTGAATCTCTTACCATTTATGACTCATGTGATGTATTAGTTGCAAAAATCAACTCTTTCTCCTTATGTTGATGCTTATGTTGCTCCCCCTTTCCATTCATTTTGGCTGGCCCTATCTTCCAACCAACTAGGTATCCAATGATTTCATAGCATCTCTCTTTAGTATACCAACCTTCTTGCAATGATCATAGCATGACTTCCCTGACATGGAAGATTTCCTAGTGTGGTTCATCTTTATGGCCAAGGCTGTCGCTTTTATAATGGGACTTCTAGATGCAACCACTACTTGTTGCTTCTCCTTTTTGGTAGTCATTGCATATACCTTATTCAATGATGGGAGGGGTTCTGTGCTTAAGATCTATGATCAAATAGTAGAAAAATTCTCATTCAATCCCATGAGAAATTGATCGACTTTCTCTGTTTCTCGTGCTTTCATATACTCCTTTGCTGCACCACATGTACAACCACAAGTTCATGTTGACACTGGCTCATTTACTTGTAGCTCATCCCATATAGGCTTCAATTTTGTGAAATATGTTGCTACTGATCTTGATTGTTGTGTGGTGGTTGCAAGTTCAAGTTTAATTCATGTACCCGAGATGCATTTCCTTGTGAAAAATGTTCATGTAAGTCATTCCAAACCTCAACAACACTCTCCATATAGGCCACACTTCCCTACAAGTCCCTTGAGAGAGCATTAAGTAACCATGAAAGCACCATAGAATTACACTTTGTCCAAGCCTGATACTTTGGGGAATCTGCGTTTGGTTTCTTAAGGCTCCCATCAACAAACCCCATCTTGTTCTTTGCAAATAAGGCATTCTGCATACTCTTTCTCCACGTGTGGTAATTCTCCCCAATCAAGGGAATCATGACTAAGACCCTCCTTGGATCATCATTGGAATGGAGAAAATAAGGTGAATCCGAATCTATTGTCTTAAGGATTCCTATCTCTTTTTTCTATTATGGATCCATACTTGGTTGTATTGTTAGTCATCGTTGATTGTTGAACGCAGCAAAACCTAGTTGTCAAAATTGATTATTTGTAGCAAACTCTTACTGTCGGTTGAGCCATCACCGCTTTGATACCATGATAAAATCAGAGTATGAATGGTAGTGATATGTGCATGAAAAGCATTTTCTCTTATTATGATTGCAATAGACATATATACAAACTGTCAGCTATAATCAAGTCTAAATTAGTGATTCTATACAGGGAATGCATTTATTGGTTTGAACAGCAAAATATCAAATATGTAGAGATTAATGTTGATTGATTGATTTCCTTATTCATCTCCTTGATATTCAGCTATAAGAGTATTTAAAAACTCATTTCTAATTAGTATTTTTGAAAATTAACTGTACATTAAATTGAACATTTTATTCATATAGATCATGCAAGCTAATTTTTATATTGATCTAATGTTTATAAAATTTTGATAAAAAAAATTATATTTATTGATATATATTTAATGGTATTAAGTTTTGTGTAATGAACAAACTTGTTAGGCCAGCTAAATGAATTTGAAAATTGACATACATGATTTATATGAATAGATTTTTAATTTAACTATTGATTTTTGAAAATATTAATTAGAAAATGATTTTTTAGGCAAACCCTCCAAAAACAATTTGGAAAAACAACTTGCAAAACACTTTTCCCATATCATAAATGTTTCTTTTCAATACAAAGTGCAATCTAGTATTAAAATCACCAAATTAAAACATATATTCTTAATGAAATTTCCCTTCAATTTTATTTTATTAAGAGTGTTTTTATAATTTTAGTATACAGACTGCACCTTTTTTAGCAGTCCGTACTTTTAAAAAAAAAAAACCCATAAGTCTAACCATATATATTGTAGAATGAATGTAATTGAGTTTGTAAAACAAAGCATAAAAAACTATAGTTTTGGGGCAAGATTTTTGTATAATTAGATTAATTAATTAAGATCACATGGTTGAGTAAAAAAGAAAAAAAGATTAGGGTCTTGCGTAAAGAAAAAGCGAAATCATTGGGATGTAAAACTACCTACACGCCTGCTTCCAAGCATATATGTATCAGTGTTTTGAAATTTGGATCGGATTGGTCGGTCCGACTACCACCCAGAGCCTGAAACGGGCTAGGTTGACACCCAGGCCTGACTCGTTTGGACGGGCCAACAGTCCAAACCCGGAGAACTTGTTCAACCCGTCTCGCCTAGTAGACCCGACAAACTTGCCGGGCAAATTGCTCCAAGCTAGGCGTACCAACACACGCTCTGCAACTTTTTTTTTTTCCCCACTATCGGGGTTTCCTAATTTCATTGACTCATTCGTTCATTCCATTCTCAACTCTTCCAACTCTGAAGCCTCAACTCTTACCATAGCAAAACAAAATCGAAAAATCCATTCTCCAATCTTCATCACCCATTAGTTCTCCTTCTCGGCTTCTCCAGTCTCCCTTCTTCAGTCTCCATCTTTCTTCCAATGAAGAAGAAAGCGCAAGGCAGTAGATTGAGCAGCAGATCGGCGTTCATCATCTCTCCAGCAGATCGGTATTTAGCACTGCAAGCAGTAGCAGTAAGCAACAAATCGGCGTTCACCCACCAGCCTTGACCCACTACCACCGACCCTCACCGTCCATTTGAGGGTGCTGCCACAAATATTATTTTCCTTCATCCTCAACAATTAATCATACCTCTGTTTGTTCTATCTACATCTGCTGGTAAGTTCATTGCATCTGCCGATAAGCTCACAATTAATAATCAAAGGTTTTTTTATAATATTTTGATTTTAAATTTATTATGTTATTTTGTCATTTCATGAATTATTTTGTTGATTATGTGAGTTAGTTTTGAATTATGATTTATTTTGTTCCTTTTTATTTATTATATGTTTTTACTTTTTAACTTTTAAGGTGGCACACATAATATTGATGAAAAAGTACACAATGGTGAAAAAAGATCATTCTATATTGGTGGTGCAAGTGGAAGAATTGACTCGGAGTTAATTGGTGAAGAAAATGATAATAGATAGTGAAAATAATTTTCGTAAACATGATGCTTGGTTTAATGAAAATCCTTCTCAGCTAGGGGATAAACAATAAACAATTTTAATTTATGCATCATTTGCATATTAGTTTGAGTTTTTGGACTTATTTTTCATATATATGTATGTGTGAAATTTATTAATTTTGATATTTGTAATTGTATGACACTTTTTAATCTATTTATTGAGTTTTTAGACTTGTATTTGGTACAAATTGCAAAGAAAAAATCTTAAAATAGTAGCAGAATTCTGCCAAGAAAACCCAAGATTGCAAATTCTGATGTTTTTGATTGACCTGGCCAGTTGACCAATTGAACTAGTCGGATCGACCAAATTGAGAATCGATGAGTAAACCGATTTAATCACAGGTCCAAATTTTAAAACCATGATATGTATAGTAGAAGGGAGAATTGGGTTGGACCGGAAGTTAGTTGCCAACTTCACAAGGCATAAAGTTGAATTTAGAGAGTGTGCGAAAAATGGCGGTGCGCCGGTGCATGCCAACACTTAATCACTATCAAATGTCGCATTTGCATGCCTTCTAAATACTTTTTGGACTCCAAAGTTAAATAGCCAACAATAATGCATAGACTATCTATCTTCTTCACTAAGGTTAGCTTTTCATTATTTATTTATTTATTTATTTATTTATTTTTATCTACAAAAATCAAATTTTATTATTTGGAGTCCAGGGGTCCTGTAACTGCACCAAACCAGAAGTCTTTCTTTTAGTCCGTATCTGCACTCTGAATTGACCTACAAAGCCCCGAGGTGGATCCTCGGGGTAGACACTCCGATGCTTAAGTCAGCAATAATCGGGGCTACCTTTAGAGTGGAGAAACAGGGAGCTTAGGGTTGGTTCCAATTACCTTTTGGCGTGGCCCTTAAAGGGTATTTATATGTTCCGATGGAGAATCCACGCGGCATGCCAAACAAGACGCCCAGCAAAATATCCAGGATCCGATGTGTATCTCCAGGCAGTTATTTCAGGACCGAGAGATTGAGCAAAGCAAGATATTTGGGATTTGATGTGTATCTCCAAGCAGTTATTTCGAGACCGGGAGATTGAGATATATTTAGATGCAAGGATGTCCATCGTAATAGCTGTGTAGCTGTTCGAGCGGGAAGCTCTGGATTTACCCTTTACTCTGGTTGTAAAGGAATTACTGTCGTCCGTCCAAGGTTGGGCACCTCGGACCTGCTCTTACACTATTCCCCCCCTGAAGTCATTCACTTGTGAATGATATTGGTGGAAGTGATAAGGGTAGTGCATAAATAGGAAGAAAGAGAGACAAAGATGAGTTATGGAAATAAAAATCCGTGACTTTACATGTATAGATAACCCACAGCAAAACGTGACATTGGGTCACTGTGGCCGTAGCTGAAGTGAAACGTGTGACACAAGGTCACTGTGGTCGAAGCCGAAGTAAAACGTGACACTGGGTCACTGTGGCCGTAGCCGAAGTACAATATGTGACACTGGGTCATTGTGGCCGGAGCCGAAGTAAAACGTGTGACACTGGGTCACTGTGGCCGGAGCCGAAGTAAAACGTGACTGGGTCACTGTGGCCGTAGCCGAAGTAAAGCGCGTGACACTGGGTCACTGTGGCCGGAGCCAAAGTACAATATGTGACACTGGGTCACTGTGGCCGGAGCCGAAGTAAAATACTTGCAAAAATTGAGAATGTGCAAAAGGGAGCAAGTGTTGAAATGGGCTTACGTGAGCCCATTTGAAAAGTCTGATAAAGGGGTAGCACGTGGTGTGATAGCCGTCCTTTGAATGACGTGCGTAATAAATGCGGCCGTAAAAAGAGAACTGCAGCAGTTAAACGGGCAAATTTAAAAACGAACCGACGAGTTCAAAACGGTGTC